TATCATGCTCTACAAACCAGTTATTTATATCTAAAAATTTACCAAAATTAGGTTGATGTTAGCATCAAACTGTGTATGTTTTTCATATTGAAAACATGCAATTCTTGCCAATATTTGTCTACATAACTTTTTGGCTGCTAGAATATCACATAAGTAATATATAAAAATACATTTAATTTTTTTACTATTAGGAGATTCATTTGTAGGAATTTTTACTCCATTCCACAATTCAAGCAATTGATTAACCAAAGGTGCAAGATAATGATTTATATGATGTGATTTAACTTCTTTGAGTCCCAGTAGCAATGCTAGAGTAATTATGTTTTGAGACTTGAATCTGAGTTCATGGGGCAAATTTCAAATAACTGTATATATTGCACCAGTAGAATATATAGAATTTTTGAAAGAACTAAACCAGTTCAGATTAATCATAAGACCAGGATGTGTATTTGCATGTTCTGACATAAAGAAATCTTTATCTTGATATTTAAAATTCTTCTATATATTACTATCATAAATATTGACAAGGTAATTAACTTTTATATTTCTATTAATTCATTTTCTACATGATTCTACAAATTTGTTTTGACTATATAATAACCTGAGCTAATCTTTAATATTTATTGTTGGATAAATAAGCAAAGGACAAAACACTATTCCATCCTATGTAGGTACCTTCTTTGCCAATTGTTAATTACAAGATTGTCTCATTTTAGACATTATGTGATTAAGAAATTCTATGAAAGTACAATATAAACATATTGGGATTTGTTTAGATTTTTTTGTTGTTACCTTGCTAGGTTCATACAACCTATCACATGCTGGACAAGTTCTATAATTATTTATGTATAAACCAAAACCCATTAACTTTCTGGCCAAATAGAGTGGCTTAGAAAAGTTTTTAAACTTATCCTGGTTAAGATATGTCAATAGAAAATAAATAAATTTAACTAATGATTCTGTTGTAGTATCAGGTAACTGATATTTTTGTTGATATCTTAGAATTTAAATTAATATCCAACCAAAGCTATTGTTAAGATTATCAATGTGTTCAAATTTTTCTTTATCTTTGTTTTCAATATCAGAAGCAGAATAGTCTATTATGGTTTTCTCATCATCACTATTGGGCTCTATTTCTGCAACTTTTTCTTTATTATTGGAGATATTTAAAATTTCAAGAACTATATCAATATCAGGTTGTTCTCTAATTATAGCTTTCACTTTTTTTTTTTGTTTTTAGTTACAAGAAATGATTCTTCTTGAAATTCAGAATCAAGCAAAGTAGGTAAAGAGATATTAATTGAAGATATACTGCTAGGTCCTATTTGAGAATCAGT